GCCATTCGCTGCATTTCCCCGGAGCTCCGCCCACTTTAAAAATACTGTTAGCATTGTGGCAGTGGTATCCTGAGTGTACGACGAGTTAGTATTTTGATTTATGGTTTCTCCTTGGAGTCTTCATTCAGTTAGAATGATACAGCTACGCGTCACGCACACATAGCCGCCTTCTGGCGCAGTGACGTCAGCTCTCAGACTAGAATATAGAGTTAGTCATTAATTAATGAATTATAGGGGGCGTACGGTCAGTGCCACATACATAGCGACGGGTGTGATATCAAAGTTGCATCTTTATGCTACTGCCGCTGTATAGTGGGCCCCGCTTTATCGGGCCTCGAATAAACTGCGGCATCGCTTAAACGACGTGTGTCTTTGAAAAAGCAATCCATGCGCTCGTCGTTGCGTATTCACCGGTTAATCGGGATATTTTCACGGTTTCCGGCCGGTCCCGATAAAGCGAGGGCACACTGAATTTCGGCTAATTGATACGATTCCTCTTCGACGGGTTAAAAAATGTCAAGATTCGCAGCGACCGCATGCGGACGAAACAAAAATCAATAATAGACGAGTCGTAGTTAATAATTCGCGAATTCGCGTACACGTGTGTATAGCCGTGACAGACGCCCCCTGGTGGGTCAGTGTGACGTGAATGGTCACGTGATAAAACGAGCTTGCCGACACAGGCACTTGCTTCGTCGCAGCATGTCTTCAATGGCCGGCGAACCATTGCCAAACACACCACTACTTCAACGTGTGTGTGTGTGTGTGTGTGCATTCAGCTAAGTCATCTGAGGTCAAAGTTCAAATTTATAGAAGTAAAAGATGTCGCGCTCGAGTGAAGCTCTCTGTATCATTCTCTCATTGCTACATTTGCTTTACTGCGTATTTCGACAGACATATTAAAGTTAACATTATGTTTCCACCGGCTCTGCAGATCAATTCGCGCACCAGACAACGCTGCGGAAACGAGCAGCGCCAGTCTAAAAACAACCCCAAATGGAATCGTATGGGGTTAACAATGTAATACATCCGCATTATGATTAAAATGACATATATAATTCCATTAAATTCAAAATCAAATTATTCCATTGAAATTAAATGAATTTTATTTAGATATAGAGGGCGGAGTATCGGCACGCATGCCAGTTATACGACCCCTCCCCCTCCCCCTCCCTCTCCCACACTTTACCCCTTCGTCTCTCCCTCCCTCTCCCTCTCTCTCTCTCTCCCTCTCCCTCTCTCCCTCCCTCTCCCTCTTCCCCTCCCTCTCCCTCTCCCACGCTTTACCCCTCCCTCTCCCTC